CAACCTGTGCCGGCAGGTGAACGACGTCTGGAACTTCAAGGTGGGCCCCGTCCCGCTCCGGCCTGAGCACCGCAGCTGGGGGTGGCCCTGGGGGACAGCCTCCGGGGGAGGGCGGCTGTTTGTTCACACGGAGCAGGCCTCCTCTCACTGATTCAGATTCCGGGCGCCGCGAATGAATTAATGTCAGTGTAATTGGCCGGGGATAGCATGGACGGCTCCTCCTCCACAGATGGACATGTGCGTCCGGCTCTGCCGTGGCCGGGCCCCAAGGTCCAGGCCTGGGCAGGGAGGAAGCGGGCCGAGGAGAGAAAGGGAGTCCAGGCCGGGCTTGGCCACATCCTCACTCTGTCACCACAGTCCCCCCTGTCCCGGGCCTGGTGCTTCCATGTGTAACATGAGGGGCTTCATGTGTGTGCCCCGCGCAGCTCTGGACACCTAATACCTGTGACCCCAGCGATCAGGAGAGGCACGTAGCTGCCTCCCGCCCCTCAGAGGGCGGCATGTCACCACGGCGCACACGGAGATTGCTGAGTCAGCGCCGGGCAGCATTTGCACCGACTCAGCACCCACTTGTGGGCAGATCATACGTGCCAGTGACTGCGCCACTGTCATGCCTGAATGGCTGCCCACGTGTCCAGGAGGGAGCAGGGCTCTGGGTCCAGCCAGATGAGGGCTCCCGTTGGCCTGACCTGGGTCTCGGAGCTTCGGCAGACAGACGCCCCTGCTCCTGGCTGCGGGCTGCTCCCTGGGGTCTGCAGGGCCACAGGGCCGTCCCCCTCCAGCCTCACGAGGGTCACAGCTCCTGGATGAACGGGAAGGAGGGCCCGGGGGATGTGAGTCACGCTGGCATCCGGGATCTTCACCTTAGCCCCGGAGTCTGTGCCTGGAGGTCAGGCCGGTTGTCTCTTACCATCGGAGCCCGATGGTCCTGCAGACCAGCCTACGGGAGGCATTCCTGTCCCCTGCTGCCCTCTAGTGGCAGGAGCTGGTGGCGCGTGCGAGGGCATGTATAACGGGCACCTCTGAGGCTCCCGCTTTGCTTGCAGATGACGGGCAGATACGACATGTACGCGCGGGAGCTGGCGGAGGCCGTCAAGCCCGACTACCGCCCCCACGTCGTGCGGGAGTAGCTGCCCTCAGCCCTGCCCGCCCCGGAGGGCGCCTGTGCCTGCAGCCATTCTTCTTGATGATGCCCTGATAACATGGCCGTCCACACCGATCCTTACACGCCCCGGTGGTGAGGGCAGAATGAGGGGTGACTGCGTAACAGGCACAGCTTTCCTTCCGAGAGGATGGGACTGCGCTTTAACCTGGTTAATTCTCTGGTCTGTGACTTTGACCTCTGTGTACGCATATCCCGGGCACTGGCTGTGCGGGTTGCTCTGAAGCTAGACAGATGGGCTGCCCCGTCCCGAGGTCCCCCACTTCTCCGTGTAGACTGTCAGCCGCTGCAGGGTCAGCGAGGGCGTGTGTGCACCAGGGGAGAGGGCGAGGCCGGTCCAGAGTCCCCGGGTGGCCCTGGCAGGCGGGCGGAGGTCATCGTATGGGTCAGGTCGGTTCGGCTGCAGTCTCGCTATTTCATCAGACACGGCCTGGGCGTTGCCGTGAAGGTGTTGTGTAGGTGTGACTGTTAACCGGGCAAGTGGGGTGACCTTCCATGGCCCTGGTAGCCCGATTCAGCCACCAGAAGGCCCCGTGAGCAGAGTCCCCGACGAGAAAGTCCTGCTGAGGCGTCGGACTCTCTGAATGTCAGACTTCTCTGTGCAGCCCCGTAGCGACCCGAGTCAGTGCCTTGCAATAAACCTCTCAATGCACCGTCTGCTGTTTCTGCTTCTCTGGCTGGGCCCCCGCGGGACCAGATCCCGGCGGGACCAGAACGCATCAGTGAGTCCCACCAGACGGCAGGATACAGCGTCAGCACACAAAGGCCATGTGCCTTTCTGTACGCTAACGGGAAACCATCTGAAAAGGAGATTAAGAAAGCAACCTCACAATAGCATCAGAAGGAATAAAGCACTTAGGAATTAACCAAGGAAGCAAAAGCCATGGACAATGAGAACCAGACAATATCTCGGAGAGAACGAAAGGAGGATAGAAGTAAATGGAAAGACAGCCAGTGTTCATGGATGTCACTGTCGCCCTAAGCAACGTACAGATTCCACGCGATCCCTAGCAGATACCAACGACGTTTTTTACAGAAATAGAAAAAGACCCATCCTAGAATCCATATGGCGCCCCAGGGGACCCCGAGTAGCCAGAACCATCTTGAACAAGAACGGAGTTGGGCCCCTGAACGCTCAAGGCAGACCCGTCTCTGCCACCGAGGCTGCAAGAACACGGCCTGCTCCACAGGGAGTCCCAGCTCTGTCCCCCAGGCGGCTCCACGGGTACAGTCTGAGCCCACACGTCACCCAGACGTGTGACACATGCGAGAGACCCACAGCGGGGACTCCGGACACCCCCACCCCTCGCTTCTACACCATCCGGGCTTCCGGCAGCTTCCCCAGGAGTCACCCCTCCCCTGACCAGCCCGGCCTGGGCCGGATCAGATCCGTTGGCCTCACTGCGTGGAATCGGTTTCGCGCACAGCGCTTCAGAGGGCGCAGCGAGCCCGCCCTGCGGTACCAGCCTCACCCCTACCCTCAGGGCGGCCAGGCAGGCCGGACCAATCCCATAACCCTCGTGAACATGAGCTGGCTTCTCCCGCAGGAAGTGTGTTCCGCTGTGCTCGGTCCACAGTGGGGGTGCCCAGGCCCAGCACAAGGACCCAGGTGGTAATGGGGGGGGGGGGTGCAGTCAGCAGCCTGGTCCCATTGGTCTCTGCAGAGAACAGGCTCTCTGGGCATCGGACAGAGCCTGCAGCCAGGCCATGGCAGCCACACTGGTTTCCGCCGCCCGAGGGCCCGAGAGGGGGGTCTTTCATCTGCTGGCCTGAGGTTTTCTAAACGGGCCCGCAACCCAAACAATGAGGCCACTGGCTGCAGCCCAAGGTCTGTGGAAACACCCGGGTTTCCCGGCGGGGCCTGGCCAGGGCTGCGAGGCTGCCCGTGAGCGCCACCTACTGACGGAGATTCACCCGGTGTCGGTTCTGGGCGGAGCTGCTGAGGTGAACAGCACCCATCCAGGGACCCATGGCTTCCGGTGTAGCTGGCCCACCGGTGAGTCAGGCCAGGTACTGGGGGGAGGGGGGGGAGCGGGAGAGGGGAGAGGGGGGCTGAGGTGTTGCCTGAGCCTGGCCAGCTGTTCTCCAATCTCCGAAGTACCATTTCCTTTATATATATAATTGATTTCAGAGAGCAGAGGGAGAGAAACATCAGTGATGCGAGTGTCATGGACCGGCTGCCTCCTGCACACCCCCCACTGGGGATCGAGTCCACAACCAGGGCCTGTGCCCTGACGGGGAATCTAACCGTGACCTCCGGTTCCTGGGTCGGCACGCCGGCCGGGCTCCGAGGTACCATTTTCCTCGCCCGACCCAGGCTCTCCGGTTAGGTGCGCAGCTGCAGAGCCCAGCCGTAAGCCTTTCCCCGGGGGCACAGCTGTGACCGTCAGGGAACAGGGCGTCCGGAGCTCCAGGGGCCCCTCGGTGCATCTGCTGCCCTTTGCCGGAGGCGCCGCTGGCTCGGGCAGCAGCACGGAGACGGCATGGCTTCACGGGCCACTGGATGGTGGGCCCCAAAGGGCAGAGTGGCCACAGCTTGCTGGGCAGCTCCCGGTGCCGCTGTGGCTGGGTCCTGCTCAGAGGGTGCCGGCCTGCGGGCGAGCCGATCTGAAAGGGCCAAGCAGGATGCCCAGGGAGGCCATGCAGCCTCTGCCCCCAGATCCCGGGAGGTGCCAGGCCTCCTCCTGCGGTGGCAGCGGCGGCGGAGGGAGGCAGAGGAGCAGATCCGTGGCTGCTGGGGAGACTGCACACTGGGGGTCTGTCCGTCCCGCTGCTGTGGGAGGGTGTGCACTGCTGTCAGCACGGGGGCGGAGGCTTCAGACTGGCCGAGGCCACATTACCTACGCAGTGCAAGCCTGGAACATCGCAGGGCGAAAGGGCACGTGCTAAACCCTAACCTCCCACCAGGGCAAACGCGAGGACACCCACGGGCCCTGGGAGCGTGTGCAGGCCCTCTGGCCCCTGGCGGGGAGGACAGCACCCCGTCTGTGACACGCTCAGTTGTAGACACAGTTCCCGGGCCCAGCGACACCGGATGGCAGGCCGGGGACCCGGGCTCCGTGACGCCCGGAGACAGAACCACCGAGGGGCCGGGGGCAGCCACGCTGCAGTGAGAAACGTTTATTGAGAATGGCTCGTTACAGACAAAATAGATTTGTGTACAAAATCTCCGCAATGCAAAAGGTCCCTTTGTCCCCCGTGGCTGGAGTGGACAGAGCCACCTGTCCCTGGCGCTGGGGCTGTGCTGGAGCCCAGCTGTGGACAGGGGGTCGGTCTGTAGGCGGACGGGCCTCGGCTTGGCCCATCTTCATGATTTCTCATCGCACAATGGCACATGGTTCGCATCCCTTCCTTCTCCCCGCACCTTCCCTGGGAAGACGGAGCCTCGGGGCAGCCGTCATCCACGCCCAGGGACCAAGCACCCTCTCATCGCCCACCAGCACTCCCTGCCTCCCCTCCCCCTCCCTCGGCCACCCTGAGAGCGGCACTGCCCGTTTCCCAGGATGCTCTGTCCTCGCCAGTTTCCCCACACCCTCCTGAGACGCCCACCCCACGCAGCACCCGCCGTGGCGTCCTGGGCATGGAGCCAGGCACCCTGGGGCCCGGCCACGAAGCACTAAGGCAACAAAGACCATCTGAAGACCACACTGCGGACCCCCAGGGCGGCACCCCCCTCCCGGCTGGTGCTGAGGAGCAAGCTGGTGAGTCTGCCAGCCCTAACGCAGGGCCAGGTGGGGAGGGGCAGCTGGCGGGTGGGGCAGATGCCGTCCTGGGCGGGGAGCAGCCTTGGGCACCGGGAGACAAAGACTCAGGGCTGTAGGGACCTCTGCCCCCTCGCCAGAGGCAGCCCCTCGGGATGGGTGTGCCCCAGCCTCTGTGGGCAGGATCCTCTTCCCTTATTTCTCAGGTGCAGACTGGGTTCAAACCCAGCTCACCGCAGTGTCCGGGCAAACGCTCCCAGACCAGGCGGGTTCTGCCTGCAGGCGAGGGGCCTGCACAGAGCGGGGTTCCTCTCGAGGGACGGAGCTGACCGGGCGTCTGCCCAGGGAGAGGTGTCCGTGTTCCTAGTACCTGCAGTCTCACGGTGAGCATCCCGAGGGGAGTCTCACCCCGGAAGTGAAAACGTAAATCTCAAAGACCCCGCCCCCTCCCCCAAAGAAAGGCCACAGTTCTGCCCGCGCCACCTGCGCCGTGTGACCTGGCGGGCACGCTTCTCTCCCAGGCAGGAGAGCCAGCTTTCTGTGCCAAAGGCCGTGGCGTGAACCAGAGCGGGGAGCCCAGCACCCAGCCTGCGAGACGTGGGGCTCCCCGTTCTCAGAGGACGGCCCGCTGTGGGGAGCAGGCCAGCGGCAGGAGCTGAGCACACTGCACTGTGGGCCCGCGAGCCAGGCCCGCCCTCCCACAGAGCTCGGCACCTGCAGGGCTGGGGCGCAGTCCTTTCTGCCCAAGGCCCAGCCTCCCAGGCGCCACCAGCCATGGGTCTGGGGCTCCACAGCCCCCCAGGGAGAAGGGCAGGGCAGCTGCCAGCTCCACACACACATGCTGTCCTGACAAGCGATCTCTCTCTCTCTCTCTCTCTCTCCCTCTCCCTCTCTCTCTCTCTCTCTCTCCCTCTCTCTCTCTCTCTCTCTCCCTCTCTCTCTCTCTCTCTCTCTCTCTCTCTCTCTCTCTCTCTCTCTCTCTCGGAGGCGGGCCCAGGCTGCTCGCCCGGCCCGGGTCGGCTTGCAGGCAGCAAGGACACCCTCGGAGCTGGGTGCCCTGGGCAGTCCAAGTCAGGCTGGGGTGCTGGGGGGCTCCGCTCAGCTCTGGGGGTGTCTCCAGCACCCAGCGGTGTGCGGGGTGAGTGGCACGATGGCACTCACCACTGATGCATGAGTCAGGTGATCAGGTGTGCTGTGACCTCCCAGAATCCCCTGGGGCTTTGTCACATGGGCTGCGGCCCCAGCGGCCGGGCCGGGAGGCCTCCTGGGTGGGGTCAGCTGTCCGCGTACACGAAGAGAATGTCCTCGTCAGTGCCGTAGCTGGTCCTGGCCTCCTCGAAGTTGCCGATGCTGGTGCTGCACATCCCTGCCGGGAGGAGGCGGGCGGTCAGCACCCGGGGAGCGGGGGGAGCTGCCGTGCCCCCCGCCCCGTCCCTCCTTGCACACAAGTCTCCCACCCAGAGGCCCCCCTTGCTGCTGTGGCCCAGGAGCTGCCCCTGCCCCCTGCCCAGGTCAGCAGATACGTGAGGCCCAGAGAGGGCAGCAACGGGCACGTCTGTGAGCCAGGGCGGCCCTTCCTGCCCGGCGCAGGGGGGAGCCGGGCGGGTGCTCAGAGGGGCTGGGCAGTGTGCGGACGTCCCCTCGGGGCTGGGGGCGGGGCTGGCGGCGTGGGAGGGAGACGGCCAGGCCTGCGGGGTGGCACAGAGGACAGGGCCCGGGAGGAGCGGGATGGGGAGAGGCGGGGAGGGAGGCCTGGCCCCCAGGTTGGACGGGAGGGAGGTGGGGGTCCAGGCGTGAGGGAGGGCCATGCACGCGGCGCCCGCACTCACGGTCGGCGTAGGCCGGGTTGTTGTAGAAGATGGAGCCGGTGGCCCGGCTGTAGCCGCGCAGCACGATGAAGTGGCCCTGGTAGCCGGGCGCGCGGCAGAAGCAGCGGTGGCCGCGGGGGGCGAAGCAGCAGTACTTGACGGGGCTGGAGCACAGCTCGCAGTGCAGCACCCCCGAGTTCACCAGCACGATGGCCACGTGGCCCTGCGCCAGGTGCGCCTGGATGTCCTGCACGCTCACCGTGCTGGCGGGCGGGGTCAGCGGTCACTCGGCGGGCACCGGGCCCCGCGTCACCCGGCCGGGGCAGGCTCCTCCCCCTCCCGGGCTGCCCGCTTTGTGACTGGGGCCCAGGTCAGTCCAAGGCCAAGGAGGGGCCGGCCCCATCGGGCCTTCACGGGGTGCGGTCAGGCCACCTCCCGTCCATAATGGGCACAGGAACGGGGAGGACGGGGAATGGGGAGAGCGGCCTGGGAGGGCCACTGGGACCTGAACCACAGGCCCGAGCTGAGCCTGCAGCAAGTGGGAATCGGCGCTCACATCTGGACGAGGGCCTCCCAGGGTCTGCCTAGCCCCTGCCCCGTACAGATGAGAAGGGGGGCCCGAGTAGGTCACAGAGACGTGGGGAGAGCTGGGAGCCAGGCCTCCCTCCTCGCTGGGCTGTGTCCCCCAGGCAAACAACCCCCCTCACTGCCATCCCCTTCTCATGTGGAAAGCACAAAGGCTCGGGGGATGTCAGTGGCCACAGCCACACGAGCAGGACACCCCTGTCTGCCTGACTCCCCACACCCTGGCCTTTCTCACCCCACCCCCAGGCCTCCCTTCCCCAGGCAAGTGTACGGTGACAGGTGCAGAGGCGCAGGCTCACCGTTTCTCCACCAGCACCTTGCAGGCCTGGGCCTGTGCGAACAGCTGGTTGACCCGCGTCTCCTCCGTGTCAAAGTGCTTCCTGTAGAAGGACTGCGGAGAGGGGCAGGCTGAGGGCAGAGGGCACTGGCGGGCAGCGGGCGGAGCGGCCCCGAGGGGGGTCAGCCAGCCCGGTGGGCACGGACAGGAGTCTGAGCCCCGCCCCGCTCTGCTCCGCCAGAGGCGGCCACGGGACACACTTGGCTTCACGGGGACTTAAGGGGCCAGAGCCCTTGGGGAGGGGGCAATTGTGCCTGTTCCTGGGCCCCTGGCTCCACCTCGCAGCCGTGGTGACCAAGCCAGACGCGGGAGCCGCTGCTGGCCCGGGAGGTCCCGGGAGAACAAGGTCGATGGCCTGGCCACCGGCAGCCGCGCACTTGCCAAAGCGGCCAGCGGCGGCGCTGCCTGCCAAGTCTCAGAGAATCACTGCCTGCCAAGCCTCATGCTCGCCCCACGCTGGGGATCCAGCGAGCTCACAACCCGGGCCTGTGCCCTGACCAGGAATCGAACCTCAGTGCTCAACCACTGGGCCAGGCAGGCAGGCTGCGCTGCTTTTAAAGCTTATTTACTGGTTTCCGAGAGGAGGGGGGCGGGAGGAGGTCAGCGGCGAGTCCCCGGGCTCACCTGGTTCCTGTAGCCCTTGTCCACGCCCAGCGTCTGCGTGCAGAAGCGGTGCCGCACGCCGAAGCGGCGCATCAGGTAGGCCAGGTCGATGGTCCAGATGCTGCGGGTCAGCCGCAGCTCCTGCAGGGCGCACTCGAACTCACTGTCGTCCAGCTGGCCCAGGTACCTGCGGGCGGACCGGCCGCTGAGGCTGGCTCGCCCCCCAGCCCAGAGGCTCCGTCCTGTGTCTCGAGGCCTCAAGTCCCGCCCCCACGGCCTGGCCACCGCCGGAAGCCGCCTGGACGCCGCTCCTGCTTCTCGCATGGCTGTGGGCTGTGCCTCTGGGCACGTCACGCTCTCTCTGACCTCACTAGCTCATCTCTGTGCTGAGGGGCGTGGGCCAGAGACTTCTTTTGTGGGACCCTCTCCTGCTGCCTGGACTCCCCGGATGGAGGAGGGGGGAGGGAGAGGCAGCGCAGGTGACGGCGAGGGTCCCGCCAGGCTCCGATGGCCCGTCCCAGGAAGGTCACACAGGCTCCCAGGAGCGGGGGGCTGGGAAGGGGGAGGCCCTGGGCCCCGAGGACTCCCCCCGCCACCCCGCGCCCCAGGCATTCCGAGAGGAGCCCTGGAGGCCGGGCCCACCCTCGGTTGCTTTTATAGATGGCACTGAGCCTCCCGCAGGCCCCAACCACCGAGGGCCAGGCGGACCCGCCACTCACCGCAGCACCATCCTGGAGCAGGCCAGGCCGCAGTCCCAGTGGTAGAGCTGCTGGATGATGGGCACGGGCAGCTGCACAAAGTCCCCTGCGTGGAGGCACGGGCGGTCACAGATCCGGGCGCGGCGCCGCCACTGCCGCCCGGGAGCCACGGCCATCGGCTCCTGCCCGTGTCCCTCGGAGCGACTCAGGGGCCTGCTGCAGCCTTCCTGCCTCCCGGCCCTCTCTCCTTACCGCAGAGCGTCTCCCCAGAACAAACCTGTCCCGGCAGGTCAGCCCTACACATCCCCCGGGCGGTGCTTCCCACCTCGCTCAGGACAGGGCCTCCTGTGCTGCCCCAGAGCCGCTCCTCCTCCCCCGTCCCCCATGTCCTCCCGGCCTCCCAGCAGCCCCTCCCCGGCCAGCGAGCCTGTGCCCAGGCCTCTGCACACCTCCCAGGCCTGGCCTCCAGGTGACTGAGCCATCTCCTACCTTTGCTGCCTTTTTTGTTTTGTTTTGTTTTTGTTTTTGTTAATCCTCACCTGAGGTTACATTTGTTTTTCATTTGAGAGAGAGAGAGAAAAAACATGGATCGGTTGCCTCCTGTACGTGGTATGTGCCCTGACCGGGAATCGAACCCGCAACCTGTTGGTGTATGGGACGAAGCTCCATTGAGCCACCCGGCCAGGGCTGTGTCACTTCTTCACGACATGACCTGTCTGCCTGCCCACCCCCGCAACGTGCACTCACAGCCCCACCGGCCCCCCGGGCCCTCTTTTCGGGGAGCTCCGAAAAGCCAGCCACAGGGCCAGCACACGGAAGACGCTTAGACACACTGGCGTCCACGGAGGTTTCAAAGCCCGCAGGGCCACCACGGGGTGAAGACAGCGGTCGAGAGAAGGGATGTCTGTCACGTGGAGTGTGTGCCTGGGGTGTCCCTCCGGGGGCCCGGGCAGGGCAGAGGCGGGCAGGAGGGGTGAAGGGGCCCCAGCGTGGCCACCGGCTGGCGGAGGGCTGAGCACTGCCTTCCTCTGGCTGGATGGAGTCCGTCCGGCAACGCCAAAGTGGGGACTTTGGTCTGATTCAGTCCTTCCGTCAACGAGCACTTCCCAGTGCCAACATGTCAAACTCGCGGCCCGCCTGCCTCGTTTATTGGCCCGTGGCAGCCTTTGAGTTTGACATGCTTGGCCCGGTGCGTGCCCGGCATGTTTACTGGAGATGTTGCAGTGGCAGGTGCCTGTCCCGGCGGCAGCAACACCAGCAAGCCCCAGGGAAGAGGCGGCGAGAGAATGGAGAGTCAAGAAGCACAAGGCAGTCCTGGCCGGCGGCTCAGTGGTCAGAGCGTCGGCTTGCAGACCGAAGGGTCCCGGGTTTGATTCCAGGTCAAGGGCACTTTACCTCAGCCCCAGAAGGGGTGCGTGTGGGAGGCAACCAAATCGACGTTTCTCTTTCTCTTCCCCTCTACCCTCCGCCCCCTTCTCTTCCCTTCCACTCTGTCTAGAAGGCAATGGAAAACATATCCTTGGGTGAGATTTTAAAAAAAGCAGAAGTACAAGTCGGAGAGGGGACAGCACGTGCGGAGGCCCTGGGGGGCGGGGGCGAGCTGGCGCCGGCCTCCGGAGCGCCCCCTGCTGGGTGCCATGATCCGGACAAAGTTCACAGTCTAAAGAACCAGGTGCCTCCCTCCGCAGCCGGCGCCAGGGCTGCTGACTCACGGCACCTGCTCAGCAGACACCAGCCCGCACCCTCCTCACCTCGGCGGCTCTGGGTCTCTCTTGAACACAAAACCAGCAGCTGCCGCGCCCCCGGAGCCTGGCTCCCATACGGGCACCCCCCAGGAGGGCCCCTCGTGAGCCCTGGAGCCCGTCCTGCCTTCTGCCCTGCCGGCCCCTTGCCTGGAGGGGTCCTCCCAGCACAGATACCATCACGGCTGGGCCTTCCCGGAGCCAGGGCGGGCCGCGCCCTCCTTTATCTGCGCGCCCACCAGGCCCCAGCTCACCCCGTCTGTGCCTGGGGGGGCCTGGCAGGCGCCTGCCTGTGCCCGGGCTGCTGTGCATTCCCAGGAGGCAGGGGCCGTGGCTGCCCCGTCTGGTCTCCCTCCCTCCGCCTCCTCTCCCAGGGCGGGCAGCAGGGAAGGCAGCGTGGCACAGCCGATGCAGGCCCCCTGACCCTCCGGGTGGCACGGGCCATCAGAGGCGCCAGCGTGCCAAGTGCTGAGCGCTCGGGGCAAGAATGTGCGGGAGGCCCCGCAGGTGCTGCCTGAGCCCGGCCCTCCGCACGGCGGGACGGGCCCTGATGCACCGGCCCCGGCAGGCCGTGCCTTCCCCCCTTACCAGAGCCCCACCAGCCTCACCGTGGCCCTCTCCCTTCACTCACCCCGTTCCCGTTCCCCTGGAAACCCATCCGGCTTCACTCTGCCCGGGGCCTTTGCACATGCAGCTCTGTCTGTCCTGAACTCTCTTTCCCTTGCTGTCCTTCCGGTCAGTCTCCTCCTGAGACTGGGGGAGGGGCCCCCCTTCACAGCACTCCGCAAAAAGTAACCAAACGACGACGACGACAACAATAAAATTACTCTGTCTCCACTAGACCCTCAGCTTCCTGAGGGCAGAGGATTTGCTAATCTCCTTCACCCGTTATTCCCGGTGCCTGGGGTCTGATGCTTAGTGACTCAGTAAACATCTGTTTATTGGCCTCGGAAGATCTCGCCTACCATTGTGTGCTAGGCTCTAGGGACACTATAGTGACTAAGAGTCCGAGGATTCATATCCTATATAATAAAAGGCTAACATGCTAATTGTCCCTCCCTCGACTGGGAGTCCAACTGGGAGTTCAACCAGGGACAGGGCTGGCTGGTCAAACCGGGAGACCCCTCCCCTCGACTGGTCCCGCCCCTGGTCTCCCCTCACTCCCCCTCCCAGCTGGCCCCACCCCTGAAATTCGTGAACCGAGCCTCTAGTTCTAAAATAATTCCCTGCGGGGCTGCGTGGAGGGGGCTCTGTGCTGGGTGTTGTCCCCTCGGGGTGGCCTGAACCCCTCCCTGTGACCTCAAACTCCCACGCTGTTCACTTCCCAGACTCTGCTCTGGTACATCCCTCAGTCTGGAGTGCTGTCTCCCATCTCCAAATGTCCAAGAGCTCCGGGCCTTTTCCTCCCTGAGCCCTCAGTGTGGAGTATCTGAGGTGCATCCCCACCGGACGGACGGACAGTATCTCACCCGCAGGCAGACACAGAGGCATGTACCCCCTCCTAGCCCTCAGCCCGGAGCAGGCACCCAGACACGCTTGGTGAGCGCAAGGTGTTTTCCCCAAAGGCCTTACCCCTGGAGACGCCCCGAGCCTACCTGCCACTGCAATGCCCACTGCCCCCCGCCCAGGCTTCCAGACTGCAGCGCTGGGCATGGCTCCCTCCTTGCTCGGTGCGCTGGGCGCTGGCACCGACTGGCGGGGCCGCCTTTGGTTGGGCGAGGAGTCTGTCCGTGCTCAGGACAGCTGCTCTGGCCTCTGCTGTCCCTTCTCTTCTTGCCCTGGTCTTTGGGGCCCCCTGACCCCGAGGCCCCCACATGGCCGGTCCCAGTCTTGGCAGCGGCAGGTCCGCCCCCAGGGACCCAGAGAGGCTCCTGTGGGGGGTGATAAGAGCAGGGGAGACCTTCCGAGCCCACAGCGCGGCCAGCTGTCCCACCAGAGCTGGGCCGGCTCCCTCCAGCCGCTGTCCCCAGGCAGGAGAGCAGCTCCCTGGCCCTGACACTGAGCGAGGCCTCGGCCAGCTCCTCTGTGAAAGTGAAAACAAGGTACCTGCGTCCAGGTGGCTGCGCGGATTAACTGCGAAGATTAAGGAGGCACTGAATGCATAATACACAACACGGCACAGCGCCTGCCCAGGGACGCTCCCCCTGAAGGTGAGCCAGAGGAGCAGGATGCAAATCCCAGGACAGCATCAGCTCCGACCCCATGCTGACCCCACGCGTGGGGGGGCACCGAGGTCCCCGTGCCCTTGACCTTCCCACGAGCTGGCCCCTCACTTCAGGCTTCTGAACCGGCCCTGAGCAGGTCGCTCCTTCTCCCCTTCGCTCCTTGGAGAGGCACCCGAGAACCGGGGTGCAGAGAGTCCGCCCCCCGAGGCCCCCAGGCCTCCCTGGGGCAGAAGGAAGCCCAGGGTGCAGAGCTGAGGCCGCGGGAGGGCCTGCCTGGCTCCTCGCTCTCAGCAGCACCGGGTGCTCCTAGGCCTCGGGCTCAGGACCTCCCAAGGCGGCTCCAGCAGGACTTTGCGCTTTGAGGGGAGGGGTTCCCCCTGCCTCACAACCCGGGGGGAACCCTCCCGCCAGGACCGCCATCAGAGCTGCGAGGACCAGGAATGCCCCCGTGACCGCGGCTGGCGGAGGGGGCCGAGCAGCCTGCACGCCTGGCCGGGTTTGCTCCGAGCTCCACCGCTCCCCGGGAGGCGACGGGCGGCCCAAGGTCAGACCCTGCCCCGCGCTCGGACGGGGCTCCCCGCGTTCCCCAGGGGGTGAGGCCGGGCCCTCGAGAGGCACTAACCGGGCTCCAGCGACGGCCCCGCCGCCTCCGCCTCCGTTCTCATGACCCGGGCGGCGCGGGGCGCCCATGGCCCCAGCCTGGCGCCGGCTGCAGCTTCGGCTTCGGCTGCGGCGGGAGCGGGAGCGGGAGCGGGGCCGGTGTGTGTCGGGTTCCTCCGTCGCCGCCGCCGCCGCCGCCGCCGCCAACGCGGAGGGGAGAAGGGGAGGTGGCGGCTGCACCGCCCCCGGGCCCGCCTCTGCCCCTTCCAGGCCTCGGACCCGGGGACTCCGCCCCTCCGCTACGCCCCGCCTCTCCCCTGGGCCCCCCTTTCCCTGCTCCGGACTCCCATTGCTAGAGGCGCCCGCCTCCAGGGCGAAGCCCGCCCCGACCATTCGCAGCTTCGGCTTCTGCTGACCCCACCCCTTCCCCATCCTCCCGCCGACGCGCGGGCCCTTCTCCGCGCCGTTCACCGGAAGTCCCGCCCCTTTCGAAGCCCCGCCCGGAAGCCCGCCCCTGTCGTGAGTCCCACCCCGAAGTCCTGGCGCTCAGCGCGCATTGGATCGCAGCTAGGTCCTACCCCAATCGGCGCCGGGCTCCAGGAGAGTGAACCCTATTTCAAGACCCTTCAAGGACGACTCCCCTCCCTCTTTATTCCGGCTTCCCTGTCAGTACGGCGAAATACCTCTTCTCGCTCCGGGCGCCCCAAAGATTGACTTGGGAGGGGGGGAAATCCTAGCCTTCCATTTAACCCCACGCCGCCCGGATCCGAGGGCCCAGGCCCCAGGTCCCTGCCTCCAGCGCAGCCCGCCCCTTAGTGCGGGGTGCTTGGGAACGCGATCCTCCGTCCCCTGGCCGGCCTGAGGGTCGACATTTCCTGCGGCACCGGAGCCCACCCCCAGCCCCCCGCCGTCATCAGCTCTCTGTTCCGGGACCGGAACGATCGTGCCAGAGCCCACGTTCCCCAGCCGGCGGGGTGAGGAGGGCGCGCCGGCGCGCGCCACTAGGAAACGGAAGGGGACGGGCTCAGCGCGGCGTTTGGGGAGCGCGCGGCATTCTGGGAGCGCGGGACCGCCATTCGCTCGCCTCACGCTTTCGCAGTCTCCTGAGTCTCCGCCGCCGCCGCCGCACCGGGAGGGGAGAGGAGGCCGGAGCCGGTGAGGAGAGGCCAGGGGCAGGCGGGAGGAGAAGGAGGCCCCGCCGTAGGGCGCTGCGGGGCTCGGGGAGGAGGAGGGCGGGAAGTCGGGCCGCCCGAGCATCAGCGTCGCCTCCCGAGCGCCTGCAGGGGCGTCCATGTAGCGCACGCCCTTCGCTTTCTCTGTGTCCCCGGTGGTCTTCCAAGTGTGCAGGCCGGAGTCTGGAAGCCATTTCCGGCCGATGGCTTCGACCCCCAGCATTTCCAGCGCCCGCGCTCCGGGGCCTCCATCCCCCTTCGGGCCCTGGTGCCCTCGGGCCTTCCCCGCGGACACATACGTTTGATCGCGTCTCTCCTGACCCGTTTCCCTTTTGCAATAGCTGTTGCCTTTTTGTTGGCTTCTTTCTTTTTCCTTCCTTCCTTCCTTCCTTCCTTCCTTCCTTCCTTCCTTCCTTCCTTCCTTCCTTCCTTCCGCGCTTCCAGGTAAAATTCCTAATGTCTTTCCCAACAGCACGGGCCCCTGGATGAGTTCCCGCCCTCCGCCGTTACTCATTTCGGGGATAAAAAATCCGCCGCTTGTCCCTTTCTCATTAGCCGTCAGGCGCTTGCCCTGTGATTATGTCCTTTCCCCCCAAGATGAGCGTTTCCTGCTTATGGCACATGGTTAAGTTGGTGTGCACGGCTGTTTGCTTTTCAGCCTGGATGGTGCAGGGGGGGAGGGCGGGGTCAGAAGGCATTGGAGGGTTTGAACTCAGTGCACAGCCTCTTCTAGACATGCCTGCAACATGAGTTTTTATCTGCAGTGGTCACCACTGCACATACACACTGAGTGGCCAGATTATGATGATCTCTGAACGCATAATAATCGGGCCACTCGGTGTATTTGTATCTCAAGTGGGTGCCAAAGGTGTTCTAGACTTTTGCTGGCGATCAGCCACCTATTTGCCCTGAGCTTTCTGTCAGCCAGTGCAAAGGGGAAAACTGATCAGGTGCACGATTTATAGTATCTTTGATATCAAATAAACGAGGTGCTCAAGAGAAGTACACCGAGTGGCCAGATTATGATACGTTCAGAGATCATAATCTGGCCACTCAGTCCCATATAGCCCCAGGTGGCTGTTGAGCCCTTGAAATGTGCCTCGTGTGAGTGAGGGACTGAGTTTTATCCCTCCTTTCATTCTCATTAAGTTTGATTTAAATAGCCGCATGTCGACAGCGGCGGCTGTATTGGCAGCTCGGGCCTATGTCACGGGTTCCATGTCACGGGTTCCCTTCCGAAAGAGTGTTTGTTACCCACAACTGTGGGCGGAGAATCCGTTGGAAGGTACATGCGTTGCACCCCCCTCGTCCCCGATACACGCAGGAGGTAGAGGGTAGCCGGGAGGGAGATGGGGTGTCGGGCGCTGCCTCCTCAGCCTCTGAACGCTGAGCCGCCCCGTCTGTCTCGCCGTAGAGCTCGCTTCCTGCCAAAATGTCTATCGGCGTGCCCATCAAAGTCCTGCACGAAGCCGAGGGCCACATCGTGACGTGCGAGACCAACACGGGCGAGGTGTACCGCGGGAAGCTCATCGAGGCCGAGGACAACATGAACTGCCAGGTACCCCGTGCCCTCCCCGCTGGCGGGCACCCGTGCCCCTGGCGGGGAAGACAGACGGGCGGTGGGGGGAGGCCTTCTCCACGCTGTTCCATGAACAGTGATCTGCTGAGTGCCTGCTGTGTGCCAGGGGCTGTGTTGCAGGTTCACGGGGCGGGCAGGGATCAGCCCATGGGATTCTGGGAGAGTTAACTTTACCCTTTGGTTCCTTGTTTCCAACCATTTCCTCCCGTGGTCCGGGACCCGCCTGAGAGAAGTGGCACCCTCCCTCTCGTCGGAGCCCCCGGGTTGGGCACTCTCCGTTTGCCTCCGCAGGTTTGCGTAGTGCTCTGCAGTTAACAGAACCTCGAGTCACATTCTGTGTTCATTTGCCGTCTTTCTGGGGTGTGAGTCTCATTGGTTAGGGCAGCCACCTTTGTCGTCCCTCAGTAGGGAGAGGACGAGTGGAGGGCTCCCCTGTGACTCACCTGCAGGTAACAAGCAGCTTCCTGGTGGGGGCCCTTCCCTGGCACCGTTTTGCTTTTGCTAACATCACGTGGGTTAAGAGCTTGTACTTAGTAAACAGAATTTGGTTTGAATCCTAGGTGACCTTAGGCTAAGGTGACCAGACGTCTCGCTTTTAGTGGGGCAGTCCCGATTTCTAACAAGTTGTCCCGTGGAGTTTTAAAAATGCAGATTTTTTGAAAGATTAATACCAAAAGCGGGACATCTGGTCACCTTACCTTAGGCATGTTAGTCACCTCAGTTTCTCCATCTTTAAAATGGGGGGGGGGGTGTTATTTTTGGTCCTCTGCGATACAGACGCCAAGACTGAAGAGTCTAGCCCGCCAGTGTGGCTCAGTGGTCAAGTGTAGACCTAGGAGGTCACGGTTCAATTGCCAGTCAGGACACACGCCCGGGTTTCGGGCTTGATTCCCAGTAAGGGGCTGCAGGAGGCAGCCAATCGATTCTCACCATTGATGTTTTTATCCCTCACCCTCCCTTCCTCTCTGTAACCAATAAATACATTTAAAAAGAAAAAACACTGAGGAGTCCGGCGTGGGGCAGAAATGGCCTGGTGGCCTGGCCTGGTCCCTCGCTGGCGCCAGGCATTGGCTGGCAGCCGGGGAGAGTGGCCTCTCTGGACCCGGAGGTGGTCAGCTCCCTGTGTTCCTTACAAACCTGTTCCTTGGAAGGGAGATCTCAGCAGAGTACTCGCCAGGCCGCCACGGGGGTTCATCCCCACCCAGGCTGTCCTGAAGGTCAGATGAGTTGTGTGTGTTTGTAGCGGTTAGCTCAGCACCTTGCACATTATAAATGTAATATATGGTGACGGTCAATGTTTCCCAGGTGAGGAAACTCAAGGTCAGTGAGATACCCAAGGTCATACTGTGAGTCAGGTGTCTTCTATATATATTTTACTTCTATTTTATTTTTATTTCTTATTGATTTCAGAGAGGGAGAGAGACATCCATGATGAGAGAGAATCATCGATCGGCTGCCTCCTGCACGCCCCACACGGGATCAAGCCTGCACCCTGGGCCTGTGCTCTGACCTGGAAAATCAGACCGTGAATTCTGGGTCACAGGTCGACTCTCAGCCACTGAGCTGCAGCAGCTGGTCAGATCAGGGATCTTAACCGTTTGTTGCTTCCCAGGGTCGTTGACATCATCTTCCAGGAGGTTGACCCGCTTAGAAAGCCGTGGAGGCGGGTGTGTGGGCTCTTGGTAGGTCCTGGGGACTCGGCCTTCTCTGCCTTGGTGAGGTACCACCAGCTTAGATCCAGTCCTCTGGTAACTAATGATAAAACAGAACCGTTCTAACAACATATTGTAACAAGCGTTCTATGAATGGCTTTGAGGCCGTGATTACTGGTTACTGAACGCCATGACAGTTGGTCTGATAAGCAGTGGCTGCTGAGGGCCTGGCAGCTGAGCAGTGTGTGGTGTGAATTGGATGAACAAAGGGTGGGACAGCAGAGGGCATGAGGTGTCACTGTGCTCAGAAGGGCGCGGTTTAAAGCTCAGGAGTCGCTTATTTCCCAAGTTTCCCTGTAGTTGTTGGGGCCATGGGAGCCGTGGGGACCGCTGTGCGAGATCCGCCCTCCAAACCGCCGCTCCCCGGAGCCGGCCGCCGTGCAGCTGTGTCTCGTTGTGGTTGTTGGGAAAGTTGAGCAAGCTGGGTGTTCCTGCCACTTCCATCAAACCGAGCTCCCGGAGTCACTGCTTCGTGTTAGCCTGGGAATGTGGCTCCGGCTTGTTAACGAGCAGTGAGGGTGGGGCAGTGCCCGCGGCTCGGCACGGCCGGGCATTCCCGCTGGCTCCCTGGAGCGTGAGGGCAAGAGCGGCTCTTCTGGGTTCTAATAGGACTCAGATGTGCTGGGCCCTCCCGCTCGGCCAGAACACGGACTGTGTGAGAACTCCTTTACGTCTTTTTGTCTTACACAACAGCCTCTGTCAGGGACCTGCAAAACGGGTTGGGGAGGTTGTGACAAGAGGAATGAGATGCACCAGTTTATGCTGAAGGACCACTGACTTCACAGCCTAGCCCCCAAAGTAGACTTTCTCCCCTTTAATGTCAACAGCTTCCCCCAAATAGACACTCTAGCTGTCATTTCCTGAGGCTCTGTCATGTGCCCGGCAATAGGAAAACATTTAGACATAACGGTCCTAGGAAGTATGTGGGGTCTGATGTCAGAGTGGATTGTCAGGGGCCTGGTTCACACCCCAGCAGGCCACACGGGGGCAGTGTGGGCTCAGGCAGGGGACTAGAGAAGCTCTGCCTCTGCTGGCTGTGCCACCGCCTCTAGGGATGGTGGCGGGACAGATCGTACAGGGTGTGCGACCTCCTGGGACGTGGGCAGGTGTTCAGCGGCCGTCGGCTTTGTTATGGGGTATTTTCCCTCGCTTTGTAGGTGAGGGAACTGAGGCCCCGGGTGCCAGGAGACTTAGCCAGGGTTACCTCCCTGACAAGTGGGGGCTGGGCTCTGTCTTCGGCGGAGTCACAGGAGGGGCTGGTTCTGTGAACCTTGGCCAGGTCCGTGTTCTCAGGTGTCTAACTAACCTCCTCTGTGGCCCCAGAGGTGAGGGTGTTCTCCAAGGCAGGCACAGACGGCAAGCACTTAAACCTGGGACTTTGCTAAGGAGCTGGGGCGTTGGGCCTGGGGCCCTGAGGGTGTAACAGGGACAGTGGTTGCACCCTGGAAACTGTTCGGACTCAGATGAGTGCGATGGCCCGGCTGTCGTCTGCCTGGCTGAGCGCCGTGGTTCTCTTGCAGATGTCCAACATCACCGTCACGTACAGGGACGGCCGCGTGGCCCAGCTGGAGCAGGTGTACATCCGGGGGAGCAAGATCCGCTTTCTGATCCTGCCTGACATGCTGAAGAACGCGCCCATGCTGAAGAGCATGAAAAACAAAAACCAAGGCTCGGGCGCCGGCCGGGGCAAGGCTGCTATCCTCAAGGCCCAAGGTAGGTGCTCCCCACATCAGCCATCTCCACACCCACCGCTGCCCTTTTACCAGAACTTTGGGGCCCACCTGTGAGGGGTGAGGGCCCTGACACCTTATCCTTGTCACTGTGGCTGCGCCATCTCCAGCAGAAGGCGGGGCCGGTGGCGCTGAGCAGGGGCGTTTGGCAGTGAGCTCCCGGGCCGCCTGCGCCTTTCCCCGGCCCTTGCCTGGTGCTGTGAGCATGTGCTGGTTCCCAGGTGGCGCCCCTCCCCCTGCAGGGCAGCTTCAGCCCTGTAAGCGGGGAGGGTGCGGCTCCGGTCAGCAGCCGTCAGAGCGTGCTCCGTCCCTGGGAGCCTGGTCCCTTAGACCAGTGTTTCCCAACCTTCTCTCACGATGAGAATCACCTGGTGGAGTTGTTAAAACACAGATTCCTGAATCCCAACTAAGAAGTGCTAAACTAGAATTTTTGGGAACATATAGGTAAAATTGTATACTTAACTAGTGCTCTAAGACAGATTTTATATACAGAGCACTAAGTTAGGTATGCAATTTTACCTATATGTTCTCAAAAATTCTAGTTTAGCACTTCTTAGTTGGGATTCAGGAATCTGTGTTTTAACAACTCCACCAGGTGATTCTCATCGTGAGAGAAGGTTGGGAAACACTGCCCTAGACCAGTCACAGAACCACGTCTCCTGCCCTTTGTGTGGCTTTGTTTTCTGTGCCGCTGTCGTAAGACACCTCACACACGCAGGACCGCGCAAGGATGATAACCCCTCACCAGATTTAACAGACGTTAACGTGTAACCGTCTTTCTTCCCGAGTGTCAGTGTGAATTCAGGGCACCTGTCCTGTCTCATCACCGCGCTGGGCCGGCCCTGGGGGTTCACCTGGTGTGGCTCTCAGGCTCCTCCCCCAGCAGCCCCTGCCCGCGGCAGCCGCGCGGCAGCCCCCCGTAGGGAGCGCGCTGGCTGCAGGCGGGTCTGGTGTGCGCGCTCGCTGACCGTGCTGACCGGACTATCCTCTCTCCCCCCTCCTAGTGGCCGCGAGAGGAAGAGGACGCGGAATGGGGCGCGGGAACATCTTCCAGAAGCGAAGATAAAGCTCTCTGCGGCTCAGAACTTTGCCCTTGCTCTTCTCGGTCATCTGGTTCGGTGGAGTGTGTGCTGTGTATGGTCCTAGCTGTTCTTTTGACATCTTCCTTTTTAGATCAGGAGAAATGTTCAACTAAATAAATGTGGCTGTTTTCCTTTTTGTGAAGGTACGGGCTCTGTGTGCATTTTGGAGTTGGCTGTGCTGTGTGCTCTGGCAGCAGGTTGGGCTGTGACACCCTCGGAGTCCTCCTGGGCCCGGGCCAGCACTTTGAAGCCCTCAGTTCTCGATAAGCGTTCAGAGTGCTGCTCCCGGCCAGCTGGCGGCTAAGCCCTCGCACACGCACAGACCGTCTCACTTTATCTCAGACACAGGCGCTGCGCGGGGCTGTGTTCGGGCCACCTTTACGGAAACGTCATTGGTTCAGCTTGAAAAGCGCCGCCTGCGTGGTCCTGTCCTTGACACGGTCCAGTGCTCTGACCTCTGAGCCTGGAGACCCTGGTGGCCTCGCACTTGGCGAAAGCAGTCTCATGTTCAAAGGCAATCCAAACAACTGTAGTGACCACATCTGTGGCTCCCAGCCTGGCTTTGTAACCAGGTTTGTGGGGACAGCTTAGGCGTTTATCAGAGCTTCTGCGCGTTGATTGGCACAACCACAGCGTTCGGTGTTGCAAAGGTAGAGAGGGGAGGGGAGGCAAAGCACAACACTGACAAAGATCCGGAACCCGGGGCGCGTCGGCAGACGTCGGGTTCTGAAAGGTTCGGGAAAGGGTGAGCAGCAGGAAAGCTGCTGGGAAGAGGACAGTCCAGCACATCTGTGCAGCTGGCAGCAGAGGCGCTTTCTCATCAGCTCTGTCTCATCGTCAGGATGCTGCCAGGAGGCAACAGCCCGTTTATTGTTCCTGTAATGGAAACCCCGAAGGAACACCCTGGCCGCAGCTCAGCTGGTGGAGCAGCGGCCGCTGCCAACGGGTGGTCCGAAAGGTTGGTGACCGCCGGGTTAGAGTGTGGTCTTGATACATCCAGGGGGAGTTCGATCCGTGGTCGGGGCACGCAAGAATCAACCAGTACCCTGGGCGTGTAGCTTGTTTGGTGGAGCATCCTGTACACCAAAAGGTTGCCAGTTCCATCTCGGCACCAGGTCCCATCCCCATGGGGGGCCGTGCAGGAGGCAGCTGACCAATGTTGCACTCTCACATCACTTTCTCCCTTTCTTTCTCAAAACTAGGGGGGGAACCACCAAGAATCAACCAGTAAATGTGTGAACCAACAAATCAGGTTTTCTCAATAAGTTAAAAAAGGCCACCACCCCTTAGGGAGCCAGCATGGGTGGGTCGGTCAGGTGCCACAGGCACATGGAGGAAGGCTTCAGGCCCCTGGACAGCCGCTGCGCCTGCTGGCTCCAGGGGCCATCGCAGATTAACGCTCCCCAGGTGGAGTTTGTTTTAGATTTGACCACGAATTAGTGTATTGTTTCTGGCCAGAAAAACTTGTTCCTTGAGTTTCCTGCAGGGTCAATGAGTTCTGCCCCCAGCCCCCACGTCAGCCGCTTGGCTCCTGTGCTGGTCGCCTTGACCTGCAGACGGGTTTATGGGGTTTATGGCTCCTGGAGCCAGGATGATGAGTGTGGCGGGTGGGAGCGTCAGCTGAGCATCCTGTTAGAAATGACGATTCCCCCGGGGACAGAAGCATGAACAGACTGCAACCTCTCAGGGAAGGCAGGGGAGGGGGCAGGGAGAGATCAGCCAATGAAACTTGTCTGCATGTATGCAGCTGCCTGGGGGGTGGAGGGGCTATGTAATACTTTCAACAAAGATTTTCACAATAGTGATTTCAAAAATGAAAAAGTCCCAAGGCCCCACCCCTAGAAATGGTGGTTAGGGGGGCTCAGGAGTCTGCATTCTAAGCACCACCCCGCCACCAGCTGGGTGGTTCCAACCCCAGGCCCTGGGCTTAAGTGTGTGTGTGTGAGTGTGTATGTGTGGTCCCTGCGTACATTAAACTTGACTGAGAACAGTACCCGTTACCCTCGGCAGGGAGGTGCTTCCAGAATCTGAAAAGCTGCTTCGGACACGGTTCAGCCTGGGAGCTTGCAGGAATGCCAGCCGCCCCGGTCTACCCAGCGAGACTTAGCCATCACCCTGCCTGGTTCCGGAAAAGGGAAGGGGGTTCTCACGGTTTTGCTTCTAATGAGCTGTTCCCAGTAAAAAGTGTGGAATTGGTTAGCCCGGCTGGCATGGCTCTGGCTGAGTGTCGACCTGTGAACCAGAAGGTCCCGGCTTAACTCCTGGTCAGGGCCCATGCCCAGGTTGCAGGTTTGATCCCCGATGGAGTGTGTAAAGGAGGCAAACAATGGGTGTTTCTCCCTTCCTCTCTAAAATCAATAAAAACTCGTCCTCAGGTGAGGATTTAAAAAAGGGTGCTGTGAAGGAGGGTCTGAAAGGACATTTCAAAGGTATATTAACCTGGGGGCACAGAAAATGGGCGGGGCTGAAGGCAAAAGCCTTTTACTAAAGTTACAGTCCCAGCTGGCTTGGCTCAGTGTATATAGAGCATCAGCCTGCCCACTGAAAGGTCCCAGGTTCGAATCCAGTCAAAGGCACAAGGGTTTCCGGCTGGGTCCCAGTGCCGGAGGCGTACAGGAGGCAGCCGATCCAAGGTGCTCTCTCATCATTGATGTTTCTTCCTCTATCAAATCGATAAGAATATATATTTTTTAAATCGTGTGGGGAAGTTACAGCACTGGAGTGTGGCTGCCCATCCTGACCGACTCAGGAACGTTCGATCAGGTCACCTTCTTAGAGGCCCTCCCCAAGGAACTCTCTCTTCACAGAAACCAGCCACGCCTGGGAGCCAGCCACGGAGGGTGAGAGCCAGCCATGCCGGGCAGCAAGCAGAGCTGGGAAAGGTCCCCCTTCCCAGACAGACAGGCTGTGGGCAGACTGCTCTTTCCGTCCCCCCGGGACCCTGTGTTAACGAGCAGGGGGAGGCCGCAGACACAGAGACAGCCCCGGGGAGCAGGCCTCCTGGGACACAGGGTGTGGCAGGAGGAGGGCGGGGAGGCAGGGCAGGCCGTGTGGAGCGAGTTTAGGTTGGGCATTCAGAGCATTCAGAGGGTCTGGCCCTTGGGGTGCCCCTCGTTCCCAGCACCCAGCTCGGGTTGCATTAGGGCAGGGAAAAGGGGGGCTTGGGGTGCCAGAGCCACAGGAAGCCGCTGGGCGCAGACTTTGATTCGTTCATGTGCATATGGATGCCCCACTCGCAGGCGCCTGGTTTACTGTCTTTTAGGAATTAACCAACTCTGGGAGAGGCAGTCTCCAGGTTTGGCTAGGCCCCAAGATGTCAAAACTTCATAAAAATAAACAAATAAAAGTTAAATGTTTGCCCTGGCTCTGTGGTCAACAAACTGTGACTTTGGAGCCACATGTGGCTCTTTGGCCCCCTGAGTGTGGCTCTTCCACAAAACACCACGGCCTGGGCGAGTCTATTTTGAAGAAGTGGCGTTAGAAGAAGGTTAAGTTTAAAAAATGGCTCTCCAAAGAAATGTCAATCATTGTATTGTTGGTATTTGGCTCTGTTGACTAATGAGTTTGTCAACCACTGCCCTAGCTGGTTTGGTTCAGTGGATAGAACGCCGGCCTGCAGACCAAAGGGTCCTGGGTTCGATTCTGGGTTGCCGGCTCCTCCCGGGGCTCATGCAACAGCCAACCAACCAATCAATGTTTCTCTGTCTTTCCCTCTCTCTTCCACTCTCTAAAAACCAATGGGAAAATATCCTTGGGTGAGGATTAAAATAATAAAAATAATTAAATGTAAAAAATATTAATAGAAGGTGTCCCAAAAATGTGTTCACACATGTTGAGTAATTATAAAGGCAGTGTTTATTTAATACATTTCACTTTCAGATTTGCGTGGGGCACCCTTGTCTAACTATTCAGGAAAGTCTTGCCTCATCAATGAGGCATAATTAGCCCTCCACTGCTCCGGACATGACTAACAATTCATGAAAATAAGACTTGAAAGAATCAGAGTATTTCCAGGCCAGTCTCCAGCGTATCCTAGAACAACGCTCAAAAAGCTTTGTAAGAATACAAAGGAGCTGGCGCCCTGCGGGGTGGAACCCACCACGTCTGGCATCCAGTCAGGGATGACCCAGCAAGCCAGGAGCACAGCCCAGGATGAAAGCAACGAGAACAGATTTTAAACTGGCGCAGATGCTAGAATTAGCAAGAAAGGACATCAAAACATTGTAACCGTTTATGGATTCAGAAAGTGAGGGAGTGAGATGGAAGGTTTAAAGAGAGAGGAGGAGGTGGGGAGGAGGAAAAAAGGAAAGCCTTCCCACTGCACTTCTATAGCTGATTTGCAGCAGAGTAGACATCACAGAAGAGGCAAGTGAACTTCAAGGCATGGCTATAGAAACTGTCTAAAATGAAACAAGATGCCAAAGCCGGTGTGGCTCAGTGGATAGAGCGTTGGCTTGGGGACTGAGGGGTCCCGGGTTCGATTCCGGTCAAGGGCATGTAATTCGGTTGAGGGCATATCACCAGTAGGGGGTGTGCAAGAGGCAGCTGATTGATGACTCTCTCATCGATGTTTCTAACTATCTCTCTTCCTCTCTGTACAAAATTAATAAAATATATAAATAAATAAAAAAAACCACAGACCCAAGAAGCTAAATGAACTCCACGTAGAAAAAGCTTAGCTCAAAACTAGCGGTGAAGAGAAAAAAGAAGCTGGAGTTAGAGAAAAAAAATGTTATCATCAAAGAAACAAAGATAAGGATGGTGTGTCTCCCTGAGAATAATGCAAGCTGGAAGGCAGTGAAGCAACATCTTTAAATTATTGGTTAAAAAGTAACTTTCTAGCCCTAACCGGTTTGGCTAAGTGGATAGAGCATTGGCCTGCGGACTGAAGAGTCCAGGTTTGATTCTGGTCAAGGGCACATGCCTGGGTTGTGGGCTCGATCCCCATTCGGGGGCATGTAGGAGGCAGTGATCCATGATTCTCATCATTGATGGTTCTATCTCCCTCCCTCTCCCTTCCTCTCTGAAATAAAAAATAAATATCTAGAATTCAATACCTGAAAAATATCTTTCAAATAAATATTTTAAAATATTTTAAATGATTTCATTTTTTATTTTTTAAATATACTTTATTGATTTTTA